TTTTTTATATTTTTTGTAAAAATTATTTAATTTATATTAATGAATAATATACATGTAAATGCAAAAAATAGGGAAAAAATAATTATAATTAATCATAAATACAAATTACAAAGGTACTAACATAATTGAAATTATTTGTAGAAATAACTGCCTCAAAATCAAGGCGCATTAGAAATAAAAAAATTAAAAATTATAGTATCACTATAATTAGTAATTGCAAAAAAAAAGAAAACTCTTCCGATATGCTTTATTCATTTATGTTTTTCTTCTTCTATTTCTTTCATTTTCTATCTGTACTTTTTTTAAAATTTTAAATAAAATTTAAAAAAAAAAAATTACTATCATAAAAAGAGGAAAAATAAATAATCCAAACACTATGAATAGTTTTGATTGCAATAGATACATGTTCATTATAATTTTATTTTATGAATCATATGACATTTTTATATTTTCATATTCTCTATTTTTTTTTAATTTTTTACTTAAAGTGAATAGTATATGTACTTTTGTAATTAAAAATAAAATTAATTATATTAAAATAATATAACCAAAAATATAAAAATAGAAAATAATTAATAACAATACAAATTATATAAGTTAATAATATAGTAAAACTTATATTGCTAAATGAAAAAACAAAAGAAAAAGATAATTTATTTATTGTTTTTCTTTTTTTCATCTTTAGTTTTTGTTAATTTATGGGTGAACAGTTGGCCCACGAGTGGGGGCAAAAATGAAATTCTCCCCATGAACCCCGGGGAATAGAGGGGAAAAGAGTTTGGGGGTACTAACCCATCCAAAACCTCATTAGAATCACTTTTGGTAGCTCTTTGATGATCAAAAACCCACAAAATAATAATAAGAATAACAATTCTCTTGCGATTTTCTTAAATCCAAAGTTTTCAAGAAAAGAGTTAAAGATTATTTGGGTTATCCATTGAGATTACCTCGGGCATTATTTTAAGGAAAGTGTTTTGATAGGGCAGTGCAGCCTTATCAAAATAAGTAAAGCCTTATCATAAAACTCACTGAAATTTGCAGATCTGGCATCTGGAAGTTTTCAAATCGATCATCTCGGTCTTGACCATTATGGTCTTGAAATAAAATAGGAATTCAAACCCTACAAAAAGTGCATATTGTAACACATTATCGAGACCATCCATTTCGCCCTAAAAATAAGTGTTCACGGATCCGCAAAATCTATACAATTTTTTAGCTTCAAATTTAGTAGTCAGTATTGGAAATTGATTTTAGAGTCATCATAGAAACTGCTAACGTCCGAAGTGCTTCCTGGACGAGGATTCGGGGTGAGGCTTTACTTTGTTTTCATAAAGCCTAGGCCTTATAGAACTTGCAGCCCTATTTTTAAGGTGTTTGGAATTGGATTCACCAACTAATCAAGGGTTTTCAAGGGCCGAGAAGAAATTTTTGATTTCTTTGGATTATTTGGTAAATTTTCACTTCCTACTACTCTTTCTTGGGCAATGTCTTCATCATCTTCAAGCAATAAGGATCTCACTTGGAAATATTCCAACTCAAAAATCCAAAAGATCAAAATTGTGTTATTTTGTAATGTATGTGGAAGTACTTATATGGGAGATACTTTCTAGCGAAAAAAACAACTAGCCATTATTAGTGAAAATGTTAGAGCATGCCAACAAGCAACCGATGAGATCAAAACGGAGATTAGTGAATACATGGATAGCCTAAAAAACAAAAAGAAAAGAAAATGCGACAAAAAAATTATTGGAGAAAATTCAATTACTTGATGATGACGAAGATGATGAAGAAGATGCATTAGAAGTGGGAAATAGCATTGGGCGGTTACCAGGGTGAAGGTTATAAATATTGGTGGTAAAAATACTAGAGGAAAATCAACTATGTGGCTGGTATACCTTTCAATACTGTAAGCCTCGATAGTTTCAAGGTTGGGGACGAGGACTCAAGGCCCCTTCATTACATGAGCTTCAAGATTCTCTTTTGAAGAAGTTGCTGTAAATGAAGCTGCGAAAATTTTGAGAAAAAAAGGGCGGGAAAAGTATGAGGTGACCATCATCATCATGTGTGATGGAAGGTCTATCAAAAAGTCTCGGGCATTCATTACTTTTTTGGTCAACTATGCATTAGGTCGATAGTTTGGGTCGATAATCCAGGAGAATGGAGAGATTGCAGAAGATATCACGCATGGAATCAGAGATGCATAGGCAAAGTGAAGATGTGTATCCGGAGTTTTATGTGATCGCCATATACCCAATGAAACTAAAGGGGAAATTCTATAGGAAGGTTGTAAAACCAGCCATGCTTTATGGTACAGAATGTTGGGCGGTCAAGAAACAACATATCCATAGGATGAGTATAGCTAAGATGAGGATATTGAGATGGATGAGTGCCAAGACAAGAAATGATAGATTCAAAATGAATACATCTGAGGAAACTTAGGGGTGGCTTGAATACTCGATACGATGAGGGAAAGTAGACTTAGGTGAGCTGGCCATGTGAAACATAAACCTAATACAACACCCGTTAGGAGGGGCGATTTAGCTCAAGTGGAAGGATCTAAATGGGGAAGGCCCAAAGAACATGGATGGAACTAGTGAGAACAAAAACAGTGACTTGTATTCTGACTGTGAGAACAAAAATGGTGACTTGTATTCTGACTGAAGCTATGGCCCTTGTAAGAGCAAAACGGCGGAACAAAATTCGTGTAGCTGATCCCACATAGTTGGGATAAGGTGATGCGCATGCATCGGGAGTGCATCGAGCCGCATCGGGTCCCAGCCACATCAGGAGTGTATCCCGCATTTTAGAACATTAGATTCTATAAATTCCATTTATTTGGAATTGGGACCTACACAACTAAGCTAGAAGTCTATTAAGTTTATACAACCATTCATTATCCTTTTTTTCTTTTGATTGCTACAAATTCTTAATGGCTCAAGATTAAGCTAAGGAGTAAACGATTGATGTAGAAGATTTGCCTGCATAGAAAGTTATCAACCAGTGCCTCAAGAGCAATGCTGGCACTAAGACAATCTTCACTAATTCAAAAGGAAGTGAAAAATAAATTTCTTCTTTGTACTTGCATGAAGATGCTTATACAATGAGACTAACTCCAGTGAAAGTGAAAGCCTGACACTTGAGAAATTTTCATATGCTTACAAGAAAGATGCCTCCTGCTGCTCTGGAAAATTCAGAAATAATTCCATGTAAAACTTAAAGGTCCAGCTACAGCTCCAGATAACCAAGTCAGTCAGCTTTAAATTTATTGCAACAATGAATTAGTATTCTTTAATGAAAAAGAAAATGTAGTATTCTAGCACATGTGATATAAGAGCGCCCGAGAACCTATTTCCATAATTAGAGACATTTACTGAAGCCAAACCTACACAGCGCATGAGGAAACCTATTTGAATCCAAATCAATATTTTGCCAGTACTCCATTAATTTCAGTAGCTGCCACACCATAGAAAGCATGCATAAATATTTAGTTGCAATAGCCACACATATATGACGTAGTCAATAGCCACATTTGCCTAAGAAACATTGTATCATCTTATTTACAAGGAACACTAGGCATAGACTATTGTATACAGCCATCATTAGAGCTTCCAAAACAGATGTGAATAAGGCTACTTGCCCAAACAAATGATGACCTACCACAGATTCTTTTCTCTTCATAGTATTATCCCACAAGTTTCAAAAGAGATACAAAAAGGACAGTCTCCAAATTCAAATACCAAGATGGATGTCAAGAATATCACATATATGTAATGAGACGATTTGTTAAAATGTTTTCCTTACAAATGGCAATTAATCTATGATCTATCTCTCATCTATTCAATAATGAGATGGCAACTCCAATGCCATACACAGATCACTTCCAATCCAGTCTTCCATCAGCAAACAAATTATTTTGAGTTGGAGTAAGCTTTTATCAATGAATGCACCACGGCTGGTGGTTGAATCACATCCATACATCTTCTCTTACAAGAAGGTCAATAACAATATAAACAAAGATATGACCAAAGATTATCACCCGGTATCACCAGCAAAATTTTGCTTACAGACCTTAAACAATAATGTTGGGGGCAAGAGCTAAAGTTGTCAGTGTATATAATTACATCTACATATAGGGAAGCTACATCCTTTTATCTCAAAGGACTTGGGATCATAGTGTTGCAAAAGTAATTTTTGTATTAGAAGGAAATCTAATCATTTCCTATGATCAATATTGTTTAGGCCTTGTTGTCAAATCGGTTATAGTGCTGGTGCATTCTAACCATTTCCCCAACCTTATGGGCTGGTCTTGAAAAAATAGAATATAAATGCAAAATATTGAATAAAATACAAAAACCTTTCAGCCATCCCTACATATCCAACACCAAAACAACATTTTTCTCTAGGCAACTTTTTGGTTTTTGACATGGACTAGACAGTGATTAGGCCCGGTACCTGACCAAACTGGTACAACAGCTGGTCCGGTCCAGTGCAGTCTTTGTAACAATTATTATGATATTATCTTGTAGTCCATTCCTTCAAATAGAAGGATGGGTTTTTTCAATTCCTTTCCAACTATTTTCTCTCATTTAAATATGTTTGAACGTTATAGAAAAAATGAGATGCCATTTGTTTTTCTTTTACCAATATTTAAGTTATGTGAGCATCTAGCTAAAAACATAAAATGAAAAAAAATTGTTTGTCTTCAATGCAATAACAAGCCTTTAGAATCCTTTGTAGCTTATGCCCGTCGATATTTGTGTGTGACCAACCACCGAGTGCCAATATATTTCTTCTATTGGGACAAGAGTTCAAAGTGACATGGCACGGAAATGTCCTTTAAAAATGTAAGAAAATGCATACAGAGGCACAGAAATTATTTTCTAATAAGAACAAACCTGAACACAACTCCAAAAAACAAGCAAGGGCTAAATGTTAAAACATACTCAAATAGGAAAGTGCATGTCCTAAAACAAAAGGCATGAGATAAGATAGACACTCACTGCTTCCTCTATTGACTCCAGCCTTTTTTCAACCCTTTCCTGATGTAGGTAACGTAACGAGTATCCTATAACACAATTTTAGGATGAGAAGCTAAAAAAAGGACCCAATTCTCAATGAAAACCTACGGCATCTAGCAAAGTATCAGCAAAAACTTTAATAATTTTTATCAAAGACCAAACATCTACTAAATCAACAGTGTAACACGAAATAACAACAAAATTCAAATTGTTATATCTTGTTACAGAATAACAACTTAAATTTTTGTTGTATATTCTAAGCCATGCAATAACATAACACATGGTCATATAATAATACCAGTCCATAACTATGTAATAACACGTGTGTCCCCACTAGACATGTGTGTCCACATATACAGACATGTGAAATATTTGTCAAGATACCTCTCGAAATTTTCATGTTTTGGATTTGCAGAAATGGCAAGCCAGTCCACAAACTGGGAATACGCCACACACGTATCCTTTTCATAAAACATGTGTATCCCAATTGTAAAACATGTGTCTATTTTGTAAACACATCTGTGGTGCACATTTCTAATGATTTAGACACATGGATCTTTAATTTGGACACACGTCTAAGTTAAATTTATTATTAAAAGGTTGGTGATTAATTTTATATATAAATATATATATAAACACTAAACTTGGGAAAACATATGTAGGTGAATCAGATTCTTCGAATTTGTGTCAGACAAATTCTCATATCCATGTCCCTGTAAACTTGCTCCAAACCCATATCCAGTGTGGACGAACTTCGTAGTGGTTTATAAAGGATATTAGTGTTTACATATTGGAAATTTCAATTTTTAATAATTAAAAATAACTGTTCATATAATTTTGTACTATGATGTTAGTAGACTTTAAAAATTACAAACACAAATAAAGACGTATTCCAATTTTTTTCAATATATAACCATCTAAGCCAACCTTTCTTTTTAATTGCATCCTTTCATGGCAATATTAGTTTTGGATGCATCTTTTGTTTTCTTCTTTTCTCAATACAAATTTCCTCTCTCAAAACTAAGTGATATGATATAAATTTTCCCTCTAATCAATCCAACAGCAATATAATATTTCCCTCTCAAAACCTATTCTACATGCTTTTTGTAAAACTTCTAAAGGCAATGGGAGTTGAGAGGTTAATGGTTTTGTATACAGGAACCAGTGAACGAAAATTCGGCCTAGTGCCATCCCTTTAAAAAAAAAAAAATTCAAATCTACCAAAAAAAATTGAAGCCTAGTATTTATGTTCTCTCTCTCTCTCTCTCTCTCTNTTCTCTCTTCGCTCTT